TTTTTTTTTTTTTTGAAGAATGAATATGCACTTGGCAAAAATTCGTCAAGTTTCAAATTTTTATAAAGCAATATAAAAGCATAAAAAGTAGTCTGACTATAAATAGACACAATTTAAATAATAATAATAATAATAATAATACATTTATATAATTATAAACTATTTATTTTAAATAATTGTTGATTTTTTTTTAATTGAAAAAAAAAAAAATCAACTCCCCCCATCTTATTGATTGATTACGAAAAGATTATGGCTCATCTTTCAAATGTTAACATCACATACATTATCATGTTAGTCACTTTTAATCAGTCTAATTTACTTAAACATGAGAACAGGACTTGATTTTTCAATGCAAGTGTAGATCTGTGTGTAGATCTGAGACACATTTTGTGTCAGGAATTTGCAAACAGGAAAGACATAGAAAATGGTTGCATGGACTTTTCTCATGAGGAAACAATTATTTAAGAGGTGGCGATTTCATATGAATTTGTAGGATGTGATTTGTATGTAAATGTATGATTTTTAGTAAATTCAAAAAGCTTTAAGATAAGGTCCACCCCTAAACCTAACAATCAGCCAGATGCAAGGAGATCATACAAAAACATAAATGAGAAAAGAGATTACAAATTCAGAACATGTTGAACTTCTACAATTAAGTGTCTCACAATGTGGGGCTGTAGGACTCATAAGCAAAAGGATGGCAAAAGGGCAGACTCCAATCTCTGTGGATGGAATAAGGGCAGGCAGCACGCAAATGTTTATCCACATAACTAGAAATAGTAGGAATTTCCTCCCTGTGCTTCCCTGACTCCTCTGATAAAGAACTAGACGCATTTCCAACAATGCGATTTCTGTCATTACTCTCTGTAGGTGGACTGGGAGCAGAAAGAATTGTTGATGGAGCTGAAGGGGCTGGACGTGTCTGCATGCCGTCTTCCTGTCTCCTCAGAAAGTCTCGAAGAACTTGCTTGAAGACACCCACCAGTTCCCAGGGAGGGATGTCATTGTGGGCCAAAAGATCATGGAGCCTTGATGGAGCACAATAAAAAAAAAATTTGTAAAATATTAAAGTAATATTACAGGAGCACAGTTGTGCTGATATTTAGATCAACTGCATAATTGCGAGTTAGTGCTGCTTTTGAACAGAGCCCTGCATGACATAAAAAATAAAAAGATATGGCCACAGATTAAGAATTTGCTCCCTTATCTTATTAATTTGTTTTAGTTAAAGCATGGCCAAAATTTAACTAAATTAAAACAAGGGAACTAGTACAGTGTGGTCACTATTGACCTAAAATGAGAGAATGAATTAGTAAAATGTGGCATTCTTAGTCTGTGTCCATAATATTAAATTTTTTCCACATATTGCATGCAGTGCTCCATAATTTTATACAGCAGTTTAATAAGTGGTTAATATTGAGTAACTTCAATTTTAGACCGTTTTGTCTATTTTTGCTCTGTAAAAAAAATAGTTCCAAATCAACCATTGCAATCATCTCTGAGCAACACTATTGATTTTTCTTCCCTGAATGAATTAAGGTGCTTGAACGAATTGGTTGAGTGAATAGTTCAATAACTAACTCATAAAGACAGTCACTTCAGAGACAGGATTTTGGTAGCCCATTTCGTTTCTAAATAAATCAAATCCTTTCCAGTAAAAGGAATCAAATTACTCAGTCATAACGTTAAGGCTTGTGCACACCGGGACGAATATCATGCGCAATTATCGCCGACGTTTAACGCCTCGTGACTAAATAAAGTGCCCCAATAGGCGTGTTCGACTTCATGCAGCGCTGCGCAGAACGATCGGCGAGAGCAGCCGCTTGCATTCGGGGGCGGAATTGAAAGCGGAGACGTCAAGTCGGACATTTTCTGATCCAGGTAGTGACGCGCTCAGGGTGTTTGCATACTCTATCACAGATTAAGTGAATAACATGCAATGTGTGTCAAATACACAGCAGTTTCAGAAACGTTTTCATGAGCAACAGAAACACTTTTTATATACTGGTTGATACAGCGCCATCTGTTTAAGAATAAAGTTCAACAAACATGTACTTTTTTAAAATACCAATAAAGTGGGGGTATACATATGCTTTTATCAGTGTTTTTTGATAAACATGACTCAATATAACATTGCTACTACAGTAAAAAAAGCTTTTACCGTTCTAAAAACACAGATTTGTGAGCAGTATTGGAATTGAAGATGTTAGAAACACGTCATTGTCGTCATGTGGTGAATCTGGCCAATCGTGAAACAGCTGTGTCGTCATCAGCGTTCCTGCAGTCGCTCTGAAAAAAACTGCGCCAGCCAAGTCAGCCGGTGTTCTTTGCTACCTCCCATTAAAATAGATGGTAGCATAATTCGATAGCGAAAAGTGCTACCTATCAGATTTAGCTTCCAGCATGACATTAATAAAGTGGGAGGCTTTAACAACATGTACACCTACGCCAACCCTAAACCTACCCTTACAGTAGGATAAATACAGTGTTGGTAGCATAATCTGATTGGTAGCATTATTTGTCAGAACACCTGGCTGCTCTCGAAAAGCTATCTCGATACTTTGATGCCACACGTGACAGTGACGTAGCGTCGGCGCCGGTTCAAGTCGGACAATTTCTAACAGGCATGCACTGCTTCAAGTCAGCCGCCGATCAGTCTGCGCAGCGCCGCATGTAGTCGAACGCACCTATTGTAAGGGTGCACACCGACGCGCAAAACGCAAGGCATAAAAGCATAATAAAAACGCCCGGGGTTCTTTTTTTTTGGTTTGACACGCCGCGTTAAAACCTGGCCGACCAAAGAGATTGGCACTTTTGTTCACGTGCCTTGAGCTGCTGAAGTTACAGTAAATCAGGGGCAAGTTCAAGCTCAAACCGGTGCGCAACATTTTGCTACGGTTTCCGGTTTGAACGACATGTTTCCTGGAAATGGTGTGCAGGGTTTGAGATACGTTTTCTCTTGTTTGGTGGGTGTGTCAAAAATGTCAGCCCGATCAGCAGCAACAGGTGTATAAACAGGTGTATAAAAGGTGTATTAAAGAGACAGCTAGCACAATGTAATTAACATCAAAATAAATTCACAAGAGCAAGTATATTGTTTGCACATGTTTATTTACATTAAAGGCAAAATAACTGAAATAAGAGCACAAGTATAGATCTGGAACTTCTGTCGGTCTAAATATCATTTAGTAATTGCAATGTCTTCTGGTCCATATCCTTAGGAAGGTGTGCTAGACACCGATTAATGTAACATAAAAATACTATACATTTATATATTTTGCTATTGTATTGTGGCGTGACACTTTCATAAACTTTCCTATATTCCTCTGATTATATAAAGGTAAATATTACAATAACATGGCACAACAACCGTGATCAGCAATAATGATAAGCCTAATACTCACAATAAAAATAATAAGGCCATATAGATCATAACACCGTCTCGGAGGTAAGAAGTGGATTATCCTTCACCTGAAATGTTTGTCTTTTCATCCTGAAATGCGAGGCAAATGTTGGATCACAATAATTAGGAACCACAGTTTCCACAAATCCCTTCACTCGATTGGGATGTTCCCTTTTATTCTGGACATTTCATCATGCTCCGAAAATTCTAAAAAAAGAACAAAGAATGGACTTCTCAGCTGCCATAGTTGCAACTCTTGCTTCATCAGAACAGTGTGATCAACGCACCACCGTTTCAGTTTAAAAAAACGTTTTGCACTGTTTTTGTCGGGGCTGAACGCAGCCCGGGTTTTTCGAGTCGTTCGTTCATCACGTGACAGCCCCATAAGCTTAACCTATGCAGTTAATTTGTTTTAGTTAAAGCATGGCCAAAATTTCACTAAATTAAAACAAGGGAACTAGTACAGTGTGGTCACTATTGACCTAAAATGAGAGAATGAATTAGTAAAATGTGGCATTCTTAGTCTGTGTCCATAATATTAAATTTTTTCCACATATTGCATGCAGTGCTCCATAATTTTATACAGCAGTTTAATAAGTGGTTAATATTGAGTAACTTCAATTTTAGACCGTTTTGTCTATTTTTGCTCTGTAAAAAAAATAGTTCCAAATCAACCATTGCAATCATCTCTGAGCAACACTATTGATTTTTCTTCCCTGAATGAATTAAGGTGCTTGAACGAATTGGTTGAGTGAATAGTTCAATAACTAACTCATAAAGACAGTCACTTCAGAGACAGGATTTTGGTAGCCCATTTCGTTTCTAAATAAATCAAATCCTTTCCAGTAAAAGGAATCAAATTACTCAGTCATAACGTTAAGGCTTGTGCACACCGGGACGAATATCATGCGCAATTATCGCCGACGTTTAACGCCTCGTGACTAAATAAAGTGCCCCAATAGGCGTGTTCGACTTCATGCAGCGCTGCGCAGAACGATCGGCGAGAGCAGCCGCTTGCATTCGGGGGCGGAATTGAAAGCGGAGACGTCAAGTCGGACATTTTCTGATCCAGGTAGTGACGCGCTCAGGGTGTTTGCATACTCTATCACAGATTAAGTGAATAACATGCAATGTGTGTCAAATACACAGCAGTTTCAGAAACGTTTTCATGAGCAACAGAAACACTTTTTATATACTGGTTGATACAGCGCCATCTGTTTAAGAATAAAGTTCAACAAACATGTACTTTTTTAAAATACCAATAAAGTGGGGGTATACATATGCTTTTATCAGTGTTTTTTGATAAACATGACTCAATATAACATTGCTACTACAGTAAAAAAGCTTTTACCGTTCTAAAAACACAGATTTGTGAGCAGTATTGGAATTGAAGATGTTAGAAACACGTCATTGTCGTCATGTGGTGAATCTGGCCAATCGTGAAACAGCTGTGTCGTCATCAGCGTTCCTGCAGTCGCTCTGAAAAAAACTGCGCCAGCCAAGTCAGCCGGTGTTCTTTGCTACCTCCCATTAAAATAGATGGTAGCATAATTCGATAGCGAAAAGTGCTACCTATCAGATTTAGCTTCCAGCATGATATTAATAAAGTGGGAGGCTTTAACAACATGTACACCTACCCCAACCCTAAACCTACCCTTACAGTAGGATAAATACAGTGTTGGTAGCATAATCTGATTGGTAGCATTATTTGTCAGAACACCTGGCTGCTCTCGAAAAGCTATCTCGATACTTTGATGCCACACGTGACAGTGACGTAGCGTCGGCGCCGGTTCAAGTCGGACAATTTCTAACAGGCATGCACTGCTTCAAGTCAGCCGCCGATCAGTCTGCGCAGCGCCGCATGTAGTCGAACGCACCTATTGTAAGGGTGCACACCGACGCGCAAAACGCAAGGCATAAAAGCATAATAAAAACGCCCGGGGTTCTTTTTTTTTGGTTTGACACGCCGCGTTAAAACCTGGCCGACCAAAGAGATTGGCACTTTTGTTCACGTGCCTTGAGCTGCTGAAGTTACAGTAAATCAGGGGCAAGTTCAAGCTCAAACCGGTGCGCAACATTTTGCTACGGTTTCCGGTTTGAACGACATGTTTCCTGGAAATGGTGTGCAGGGTTTGAGATACGTTTTCTCTTGTTTGGTGGGTGTGTCAAAAATGTCAGCCCGATCAGCAGCAACAGGTGTATAAACAGGTGTATAAAAGGTGTATTAAAGAGACAGCTAGCACAATGTAATTAACATCAAACTGAAATAATAAGAGCAGAAGTATAGATCTGGAACTTCTTTAAGTCTGTCTAAATATCATTTAGTAATTGCAATGTCTTCTGGTCCATATCCTTAGGAAGGTGTGCTAGACACCGATTAATGTAACATAAAAATACTATACATTTATATATTTTGCTATTGTATTGTGGCGTGACACTTTCATAAACTTTCCTATATTCCTCTGATTATATAAAGGTAAATATTACAATAACATGGCACAACAACCGTGATCAGCAATAATGATAAGCCTAATACTCACAATAAAAATAATAAGGCCATATAGATCATAACACCGTCTCGGAGGTAAGAGGTGGATTATCCTTCACCTGAAATGTTTGTCTTTTCATCCTGAAATGAGAGGCAAATGTTGGATCACAATAATTAGGAACCACAGTTTCCACAAATCCCTTCACTCGATTGGGATGTTCCCTTTTATTCTGGACATTTCATCATGCTCCGAAAATTCTAAAAAAAGAACAAAGAATGGACTTCTCAGCTGCCATAGTTGCAACTCTTGCTTCATCAGAACAGTGTGATCAACGCACCACCGTTTCAGTTTAAAAAATGTTTTGCACCGTTTTGTCGGGGCTGAACGCAGCCCAGGACTTGGTGGTGCTTAGGGTTGGGTATCGTTTGAATTTTATCGATTCCGATTCCCAGTTTCGATTCCAATGTGATTAAATAATGATATCAAAGCTTTATCCTGCGTCTCTTTTTTGCAAACCATTTATTGGAGCTGAATACCATGGGGGGAAAAAAAGCTACATAAAAACTGGACTCTTTAAGAGCCGTTTGTGTGCAAAATAGAACTGCATGATTCTAGATAAATGTAGTTCCCCCCAATGGAAGTTCTCTCATGATTCTGAAAAAGAAAAAAAACAACAAAAAAAACAACAAAAACAAACATTAGACAACTAAACAATCACGTGTAATTTATGAATTAATGATTGACTCACTCAAGATGTAGCCTACTTGTTTCATTACTAGATGAATCAGCGTTCTTGAACGAATCTCTTGTATGATTCAAAGACAAATACATTTTAACAGCCCCTTTTCGCCACCTACTGGCGTAGCAATGTAATTGATAAATCTTCCTTTGAAGTGTCAAATTACTTACAAAAGGTGATTTACTCTATTTTAATCGCTACCGTACACTTCAGAGTTTATATCTGAACTATAAACTTTATCCCAGTACTTCTGTGATTTGAATGTTTGTAACTGAAATAATGATACGGTGTGGCTGAAAAGACTGTGAAGCGGTTTCATTCATGACAGATGACAGCTGCTCTCTTTAGGTCAACGGCAGCGCGAACGCAGATTTAAAGGGGTCCTTATGCTTTTTCAACTTTAGTTAGTCTGTAATGTTGCTGTTTGTTTTTTTGTGTAATCCTTTTTTTTCTCTTTTTGTTATATGTATTTGTATGTAATTTCTTGACAATGTTCTTATGTTTTTGAGCATTAAAAAAAAAAAAAAAAAAAAAATCTGCAAAGTTACAAAGTTCAAAGTCCACTTAAATAGGAGATATTTTAATTAACAAATCACTTTTCAAAAACTACAACGAACAACTCGTTTGGACTACAACGCATATTTTCCAGGATTTGTGATATCACAAATATCGACGAATGGGACGAGACCTGGTTGAGTTGCACTAGAGAAGGCAACAAGTGTTATCATTATGTCGGAGACACGCTAGCTTTCCCAAGGCCAGGAACTATTCGAGCGGTTCATGCCAGACTGGGGAGAGAGGTGTTGTAATGTAAAATGTGTGAAAAATGTGTTTTTTTGCGAACAACCTAGTATGAGAGCCTGTTCTAGTATACCCCCAAAACAAAATCAAGACTTTGTAAGAGAGCATAATAGGACCCCTTTAAATGTTCAAATCACACTGGTGTGATCGTACGCTGCACGGACGGACGAACCTAGTGATCACAACATTGATCGCTCAGGTCAAAGATTGAGGAATGAAACGGACGAATCACTGTAATCTAGGAATAGAATCACGTTGGTGTTTGAATCATGTTCGTGATCTTTAACGATCTATTAAATTAAAGTGCTTTGTCATGTTGGTGGCGACACCTCTCTTGCAACATGTTTAGCAATCACAGATATTATACTTAGCTTTTTTTGGCTTCTGATCGTAAATGTAGTCAAACTTTGGAGTGCTTAGATTAGCGATCAAGGTCCTGGCAGATCGTTAGGTCCGGTCCTCACAGATGGAAAAAATAAAAATAAAAATAAAAATAAAAATAAGCGCATAGGAATCGGTAGGTGGAATCGAAAAATTTAATTTGACAACAAGTATCCGATTCCTGACCTTAAAGGGTTAGTTCACCCAAAAATGGAAATTAGCCTGTGTTTTACTCACCCTCAAAGCATCCTGGGTGCATGTGATTTTTCATTTTATTTCACGTCTTCTGAACGGTTGACAACTAACTTACCCCCATTGAAAGGCTTTGAGGGGCCAGGACAATTTTTAATATAACTCAGATTGGATTCGTCTGAAAGAAGAAAGTCACATACACCTAGGATGCTTTGAGGGTGAGTAAAACACAGGCTAATTTTCATTTTTGGGTGAACTAACCCTTTTAGTATCCGATTCTGGAATGTGAATCGATTTTTGATTCCCAACCCTAGTGGTGCTCAAGCACAAGACGGTCTTGCAGAGCACACATTGATACCTAATGACAAAGAGGAAGTAGACGAAGAAGATGCATCGAGGCAAGATGAATGTAGAGCTGCTGGTCTCATTGGTGTCTGAACACAAAGAGCTTTATGACAAACGCTACAGCGACTACAAAAATCTTGATAAGAGGGAGTTATGGAGAAGAATTGCAGATCAAATAGGATTCGATGTGTACCGGGGTATTTCTGTTTTTCATTAAGCACCATCTAATATCAGGGAGTGAATTTGCACGTTCACTCGGCTCATCACCAGTGAAAATCGCTTGGGTATGAACACAAAGACGCGTCGAAAAACGCTGGCGATAAGCGCGTACGATAATCGTCCAGGTGTGCACGAGGCTTTAAAGTCACTTGTCGCCACCTATTGGCATAATCATGCAATGTGCACAGTATCACAGAAAAATCCCCACATCTGTCTGGAACACATAAAATCTGAGTTTTTTTGTCATATTGTAATGTACTTAAAGGGCTAGTTCAGCTCAAAATGAATGTTCTATCATTTCACGAGTTCACACTTACATATAATTAGCTGAAGTATAGTAATGCGTATTTGGCGTGCGGTCCAGGGAAGGGCTCCGAGCTCGGGAATGGCCCGAACCCAGAGTACCCCCCCGTATAAGTGTAGTTAGAACTTGAAGTGAGGAGATGGGGCAGTGGAGGGATGCTGATAAACCGTCGATGGATATAGGCAAGTCTGCTGTATTTATACCTCTTGGTGTTGATTAACTTGAGTGCGCTCCTCTTGTGTTAATTAGGCCAAGTATCTGACATGCTCCTCCTGAACTTTAATAAAACATTTAAAAATGAATATTGTCATTATTTACTCCCCCTTATGTTTTTAAACCAAATAGAATGTTAAATTTTTAATTTTTTAAAATAGTGAATGGCAGTCATTAAAGGAGATAGCTATATATTGGTTTGGATTTTTATATTGTATATGTGATTTAAAAAAAAATAAAAAAATAAAAAAAAAGGATTTAAAGACCATTTGAAGAATGTATAGAAATTGAAGCAAGCAATGCAAAAGTAAGAGATCTTGTTTTACCTGGAAAGTACAATGGCAGTGTGTGAGTGTAGGAGGCGGTCACAGAGGCGCTCTAGCTGGCGGTGTTCAGAGGCAGGTATAAGGGCAAGCAGGCTTGGGTATGCTGGGGGGTGACAGTATCCCAGAATGCCATGGGAAATGCCGTACTGGAACTCCTCCTCTTGAACCTGAAGTACTCTTTGCTCCAGCTGCCAAAGCATCTCACGTAGCAACATCCGACCTGGGCCTCCACATCCATTTGTGTGGGGCCAACCTACGAAAGGCATGGCTGGACTGCAGTGTAGGGGGCAATAAGAAAGCGTGTTGGTTTAACAAGTGGATAAAACACTGTATACCGAAGTGAATTTCTTCTTTACTATCATCCTTTGTAAATGAACTGTAACGGTTCATAAAGAGCTTGATCTTCAGTAGACAGTCTTTCACACTGCATCACATCAAGCTGCGTAGTCCATCCTGAACTGGCAGTCAGGTTAATTCAGCAACACACACTTCCCCCTATTCAAGCTAATGCAGGACAGTTTTATTTTATTTTTATTTGTCAACCAACACAGCTCTGAATATGATGGGTAATTATGCAAGTAAGCAGTGACAAACAATCATGTTGAGAAAGCCTCAGAGAGCACTTCTGTTTGAAAAGCCATGCTAAAAACCAAGCCATCCTATTTGACGGTTAGGCATAAAATGCACTTCACATCAATTTAGCATATTATTACCAAGCACTTGACATTGCAGGCAAATTTCAAACCATGCCATGCTGAAAATAAATAAATAAACAAACTAAGCTGCTGGTTGCGTTTTGGAAAATGGTTTCAAGCTGGTAAGGCTAGAAAAAAAAAAGTAGGTTAGCCGACTGACCAGTCATCTTGTTCCAAAAACAAGCTTAACCAAGCTGGTTTGACCAACTGTAGATGGTTTGTTGGTGGTCCAAGATGGTCTGCCTAGATAATGACCAGCTAATCACCATCTCGGCCAACAACCAGATTTAACCAGTTAAAATGTTTCAAAACATTAGACCCAAATTAAACGAGAAAAGTTCAAATGGACAGAGATAATGGTGCTTTGAGAAAGACTTAAGATTGAATGGAGAGGTACAGAAGAGAACAAAAATCCAGGCAAATTGAAAATAGAAACAGGAGGAGACAGAAAGGTGACTGATGGTGCAGAATTTAAAGGAAATGATTCACCACAATGGATATGGGTAAAGTTTGGTAACAGAGGTGAATACAGTAAAAATACAAAAAAGGAAATTTTTACCTTGTGGGTCTTAGAGGTCCATGATGCTTTGACTCCATCTGGTACCACCAAATTGCATTAGGTTATGCAAATAAAATATGTAAATGAAGCGAGACTGTCAGATATAGAATGAAAGGATACAGAAAGCAACAAAGTGACTATTCTGGTAGAAGATAGTAAGAGAAACTAAGTGTTTGAACAAGAAGAATGACAATCAAGCTGAATCAGAGGAAAAGCAAAGAAAGAAAGAAAGAAGAGAGTGTTTGCCAGTGACACGCAACAATGTGCGGATGACTGCGATGGGCAAAGTTGAAATGAAGAATGTGAAATTCTCCCCTGTCCACCGCAAACTGCCTTCTGTCTCTCTGCTCTGATAACCCAGCCCACTCTGACTCGCATGCCCTCAAACATGCATTAACACACAAACACACACGGACCATTTCAGCTCATATAACAGAAATAACACTCAACACAAACACTGACAGATATGGTTTGAAGTATGCATGCTGCTTTCCATCTTTCAATGCACTGTCACGCATCCTACAGTCTTATATTCAGCTTGAATTTCATGCCTCAAAACTTGCCTAGGGTAAATCAGTCTGGGGTTCTTGTTTTCCACAGTTAAATGCTTAATGCAGTGTGGCAGTCGGAGTAAAATTATCTGAAAAAATGTAATGTGACCCAGTGCCAAGGGGAAATGTCAGAATACAAGGGAACAAAATGAGAGTTCCTGGTCTGCTCAACAATGTGACACATAGATGAATAAGCTTGTATTCTTGGGTGGAAGATAACGATTCTCACATCATGGATTCATCGAATTAATACATATGTATTCAGTCTGAGAAGGTAATTGTAAAATAAATCACGGTTTATGGTCTTAGAGATCCTTTGTATCTACTAAAAACAAAGTTGTGTGTCTCTTGCACTTCACATTTGACTGGAATAGCCTACATGATTGTATAGGATTTCTTTGCAACAATTTATCCAGCACCATGAAAATCTTAAGACAAATTAAATATACATATTAACCAGCACTCTATTAACTATATTTGGTACAGCCATGGTATGTTCATGTTTATGTGGATTAAAAGTGATTGTGCTCATAAGCGTTTGTCACAGATTGCAGTTGGTGTCCATATGGAGGCCTCTGGGAAGGCTGCAGGCTGGATGGTCTTCTGAGATTCATAATCTCAGCCTCGCACCTGGTTCTGGGTCAGGTCAGGGTAAAGCACCAGACTGCTGGCCATGCCACCTGCCCGATGAACATGCCATAAGCCAAAAACACATCTAGATTACATATGTAATACTAAAGTAGTGCAAACTGAAAAATAGAAAAAACCATAAGCAACATTGTTGGCAGCATGTATAAGCACAGCCATTGTAACTTTTGCACATTTAAATAGAATATCAAAAGTGCTTTGAAAATGCATATGAGAAATTATTCCAGTGTTTTCCAGTATAAAATAATATATCAAGGATGTAACGATGCACCCTGAGCCGGTTGAAAATTGATACAAATGACAATTGAAATCGGTTGAGATTTTAAACGAATTGCGATACAACTGTGGGTAAGGGTTCATATGAATATATCTCTGAAGGGAATTGAAGGTCTTAATTTAGATAGCATTTTCTTTTAATCTTGACCCTGTATAATGCATATTAATGTGGAATTCATACGCGCTGCTTTCTTTACAGCAGCAACTAAGGAAAAGTGAATTTGCGTTCTCATTCAGCCGGTCTGCTGTTTTTGTTTCATGCAGATGCTTTATGTAGTATAGTTTCACAAAACTAAAGTAAATTTTTTTCTCAATTGTTCAAATTTTGAAAAATCTAATTTAGATTAAAAGCTGTACATACTGCATGTATGCAGCATCTTTGTTTGGATTGTGATTTAAATAGTGGTTGCCTCTAATCTAATCTCTCCAAGCGCTTAGTTTGTTGAGATTTCTTTTATTTATTTGATTTGGGGTTTGTTTTGAAATTTCAATTTTAGTTTTGTTATTTGAAAATTCAATTTCACAAAGAAATGTGCAGCATTTTGTCCAAGCACCAATAAAACGACACCTTTTCATTTATGTTTGGCTTTCGTTTCATTTGACCAACTGTTAGAGAGGCAAACTGAACTTTCAGAGAATGTCTTCACACAATTGAAAGCACTAATAAAATTATTCATTTAATTTGTTTAAACCCTTTTTAAAAAAAAAAAAAAAAAAAAAAAACTGAAAAAAAGCAGTATTGTGGATTCTATCGTATCATGAGTTGAATGAATTGTTAGTCATCCATCCAGCTCTACACATACCTTGTTTATTTATTCTTGCGGGGAATATGGAAGAAAAACATAAACATCACAATCACAACAACAATAACAATAACAATAAATGCATGTATGCATGTATGGCAGCTATAATTATGTAATTTAATTAATTAAAAAATATATGTATTTTAAATTGATTAATTATATATGTCACACTTACTGTCGATGAACACGCACAAAGATGACGATAAACAGTCTTTAATAAATCCACATATGGGTAATTCTAAGCAAGGGTATGGCTACTGACACCCATAACATTAGCGTTTAAGACCCAACCAACTCAAACTGAACAGACAGGAACTTAAATACACAGACCTTTATAATTAACAAGACACACCTGAACAAAATGACGAAATCAAATCAATAACCATGACAACTAACGAGATGGGGAAGACAGCGCAAACAGGAAGTCCAGAAAGTGTGATAGTGTGACAATATATAATTTATTTGTTTATTTAAATTTTTCTAGGGGAATATAGCAGAGAAAACGGTCCCTAAAACACTTTATTGAGGTCTTCCTACATTTCTAATTGTGTTGCCTGTTATACTTCATTTCCCATTCCTAAGATGTGTGCATGTGTACATATGTGTGAGTTGCAATGCAATTTGTATCTCTTCCACACAGCCCGAGTATGAAAAGGTAGACCATGTCGGCAAAACATTTCACATCAGATCATTGTCCAGTTATTCCTCTACTGCAGACTCAGACCTTAAGACATGACATCACCTGATGTCCAATTATTTCTGTCTACTGTGTCATGTTGTATTATTTTCAAGGAGTGTAGGACTCACAGTCTTTCTTCAGTTCACTTTGCTCCTCAGTCTAGCAACAAAACACTTGAGCAGAGTCTTGGAATAGCTGGGAACTTGCTGTACAGGAACTTTCAAACACAAAACTAATTCCAGACATATTTGCGGCACTTTTTGAACAATTCCCATCTTTAATTATGAGCTGTGTATCTTCCTTTTGTATAAAAGGAGAAAGAAATTCGCTGGAAATGGCACAGGGCCTTTCACTGCCCTCTCTAAAAACCCTCTGTACCCAGAGGAGATTCAGGCCGTCACTGCAGTCAGTCTCAAGTCGTCAGACGGAGTGAATGTAGCAGCCCTGTCACACATACCCACACAGAACGAGGCTAATTGTGAGTGTCAGTCTGTGTTTTGAGGTGGGTGATGTCATTGCCACTTGGCAGGGCGCCTGTTCAGGGACAGTGATGATTTGGGACGTGGCTGGTGTGTGCACACATCAATACACCAGAGGGCAGTGTTCATGCTTACATAAAGAGGGGGTTTATATTCTTTTTAATATTTTATGAAATTTTCTTTACTTCATAATTTGCAAGCATTATTGCAGCAAAAACACCTCAAACATGCATCTATAAACCACAATATAACATAAATATTAATTATAACTATTTAACGTGTGAACGATAGCTAATTGTTTGACACTGAAGACTGGAGTAATGACTACTGAAAATTCAGCTTTGCCTCACAGGAGTAAATCACATTTTAAAATCTATTCAAATGGAAAACAGCTATTGAAATCGTTGTACAACATTACTGTTTTTACTGTATTTTCAATCAAATAAATGCAGCCTCTGTGAGCATAAGAGAATTCCTTCTAAGCCATTAAAATCTTACTGACGCCAAACCTTTGAATGGTAGTGTAGGCTACTCGTTGCTCTTTTGTACACTCAACCGTCTTGCTAAAAGGCAGCGAGTCTCTTCTTTCATCGCAATTTAATCAGTTTAGACAGTGATGGAGTTTTGTTTAAGCTGTCATCCACCAAACACAAGCTGGATGTGATCGCTGATTCCACTCATCACGATAACTGTATCATCAAAACTTCTTTCTGTCACTGCCGTAATAGTGTCACTCTGCCCTGCATCTGTCTCTCTCTCAGCATCAGTGATGCCGCAACTCATTAGACCATGCTTAGATGCTGTAACTGAGTCATTCCTCTTATGCAGTACCTTTTGAACTCAATGACATAAAAAATATGCTGCACTCTAAGAAAAAAAAAGGTACAAAAGCTGTCACTGCAGTCGTACCTTTTCAAAAGGTACACCTGTGTACCTCAAGGGTACGTACTGGCACCTTAAAGGTACATATTAGTACTGAAAGTGTACATATTAGTACACTCTTTTGAAAAGGTACCGCCCCAGTGACAGCTTTTGTACCTTTATTTCTGAGAGTGTGTGGTCAGACACTTAAAATGGAATAATTATAGCTTGACTTTCACAAACTGCTTATTGTGGGGTTGGGAGAAAGGGTGTCTTGCAAGTTTACATTATTTTATCAAACAGACTGATTGTTTTACAGTGAGACAATACCAATTAATGCCACAAAATATCACAGAATGAATTAAATCCATTGCTAATGCTTACTAATGTTTATGCTCTTGTTTTCCCTCCAAAATGATGTCATTTCCTGAAGGATGCAATTATGAAAGACCTGGCTTTTGTTAGTTGATTGGGATATTAGGTAAAAGTTGAATGGATATCGAAAACATGAAATTATGTCTTATTGAAACATTTAGATCAGAGAAAGGACACATTATATAATATTTTTCAGCGAACTATAATTTCTTCTTTCTCGATAACAGGATCTAAACTCACTTCTACTGGTCTTCTAAAGTGCTTTAGATGTTACAAGATGTTTAGGGCTCTGCATTTCTGCAAGGCATAAGATTAAAAAAAGTTAGTAAAGGTTAGTACTGTGCTTCACCAGCTCCACTGGCTCCTAATCATCACACATACTACAAATTCTAATTACTATTTTAAAACCCTGTAAAGCCTGACATATGAAATAATAGTCAGGGAAGAAATTGAATCTTTAAATAAAATGTTTTACAAAGTTGAATTTTTGAATATCATATTTGATAAATCAGTCTTTTATGGCCCATATAGTATGATATAGTGAGAATATGGAGCTCACAGAGAAGGGAAAAAAACACCAACATTTTATTCAGAGGCCTAAACTAAGCAAATTATATTTAAATGCTTTGTTGATTTTTATCAAAGCTTTGCCGTTTTAATTGTGGAACACAAAACATATAATGCAATGCAATACAATGATGATTGAGAGATGTATAAAGGTTCCTCAAAAATATTCTCATTTTAACATGATTAAAAAAAAAATGTATGGATAATCAAGTAAACCTGCTTCGGTCCAGTAAATGTTCATCTTGAAATATTACTAACAATATAAAAGATATTCTTGTGTTTACTTTACACAAATCACTAAAGACTGCACAGCAGAAAGACACGTCAACTACAACCTGAAGATGTTTTTAGAATGAAACTAAAAGGCCTTTTACTTGCTAAAAAACAGAAACTATCAGAAAGCATGTAGTACATTGTGTACAACAGGTTTTTCAGCAAAGTTTCGTTCGGCCTTAGACATTTGTGTATCAAATATGATAAGGCTTTATAGGGGTAAGCCTATAGATGGTCGACATCCAGCTGATTTATTGTATTCTTAAGCGTTTTGAGATCTTTTGGTTTGTTAAAGGCACAGAAGAAACCAAATCTATTCTTATTGCTATTGGAATGGGCAGTGGTCTGTTAGACAGAGAGAGCCAGAGGGAGTGTATGTGTATGTGTGTGTGTGTGTGTGTGTGTGTGTGTGTCTGTGTGTGTGTGTGTGTGTGTCTGTGTGTGTGTGTGAGTGAGGGAGACAGAGTGAATCCATTAGGCCTGTCTGACTGACTGACAGCTGCATGTCCTCAGGTAAACAGAGAGGTAAGAGTGTGCATTTAAGAGTTTTATCTCTGACATCTCCGCTGGCTCTTTTATGCCCGACATTCTTCAAAAGTCTATTTCACTTCAAAGTTTTTTGAACAGCACTTTATTTCTACCTTTCTCTAGCCGTTTCTGTTCAAAAATAGTTCTGAACCTAATTAAAAACTAACCAACCAACCAACCAACCAACCAAAATATAGTTTTTGCTCTCATTATGTGGTATTGACACAGTCATCTGTGAGGGTTTTCAAAGATACAGACGCATGTTAAATACTGTACTCTGACTCTGCTAGATTTTAAAATAGTTTTGGGCACTGTTGGCTTTTTCACCCTGTCTTGAGGTGTATTTGACAAGGAGACATTGGTCAGTCATGTTGGGCTTTTGGTAGTTTGTGTTTGTGAGGGTACAATTGACCTTTGAGTGAGTTCCCGACATACAGACAGGCACCTCAAGGCCATCTTGCTGAACGTCACTGAGTGTGAGCAAGGTGAGAGAAAGGTCTTGAGATTTTAGAGACATGGAAATAAAATAAACATGAATAATTTATTTATTCATTTACTTATAGAGTAGAGTAGCTCCAAAGGCCACATGGAATTTCACCTTTTATTTGTCGACTTGACATTTGGTTAATTATTTGAAAGCATGTTGTTGAATGTATTATAAAAATAAACCTTTTCACCAAACTGTATTTTGACAATATAATAGAAGATGTTAATTAAAGCAATTTAACATGGATAAAGGATAATTGATTGATATACACTACCATTCAACAGTTTGGGGTCAGTTTTTTTATTAATACTTTGATTCAGCTTAGTAATGTTTCTTGAGCAGAAAATCATCACGTTAGAATGATTTCTGAAGGATCATGTGACACTGAAGAGTGGAGCAATGGCTGTTGAAAATTTAGATTCGCCATTTCAGGAATAAATTACATTTTCAAATGCATTAAAATAGAAAAAAGTTATTTTCAATTGCAATTACTACTGTGTTTTTGATCAAATAAATGCAGTCTTGGTGAACATAAGAGAATTACAAATAAATTAAAAATATATTTCAGTACTTCAATTTGTCAATTTGACATCTGGTCAACTCTCAGAAAGCATGTTGAATGTATTGTGAGAAATAGGCCATTTTGAAATGATTTAGAAATGAATGCCAAACCACATTTTGATTTTTCATTATTAACAAATAAATATTATTTTCACATATTTGGCAGCAGAGGGCACCCCTTGCTCAGATGAGCCTTTACACTTCTCAATTGTGTGCATCTATAGGACCTTTAACGTCTTGTGGCTTCAATGTTTCTCAAATGAATGAGCTATAGGCCCATTTGTGGCAGCACTGAGTTGGAGGTCATAAATGCCTCCTGACATGATTTTACTAGTACTGATAAGATCCATGTTTCACATCAAAGAGTGCTGTAGTCTACTAATGTGGGACAGGACTGCTGTTTGTCTCCAAGAGCTCAGATGAGAAGACAACCCCTTGACTGCTTACTGACTGAATGCATGTTAAAGTAGGCTAGTTTGCCCAGAAATTACAGCAGCACTGCAAAATGAACTTTTCTGGTTTTTCAGGTATTGTCAGTGGCAAATTCTACCAGAGACTACAACTACAATCAATATCTAAATATTCTTAAATAAATAGGCTAGACATTTACTTGAAAAGAAAAATGGCGTGACATAGGCTATAGGAAGTCTTGTTTTCTGACAGGCTATGTAGGCTATTCAAAATGTAGGCTATACAAATTAAGTGAGCTCTTGCATAAAGCAACTGTTTTTAAGATTTTTACCTTCAAATATTAGTTTCAAAGTCATTCTGATGATACACTGACTTCTAATAATGTTTCTGTTTGTTTCCAACGCTCGAACGAAATTCCACGAAAAAGGCAGATTGTTTTACGACAATGCATGTGGACAGCTATCCTCGGTAATTACGACAGGACTTGTAAAAGACAGGAAAAAAAAATCCAACCTTAATAAACTTGTTCTAAAAAAATAAGACTTTTTTTTTCTTTCCCAATAGACTTTTCTTTTCTTTTTTTCCATTCATGAACCAGCCTAATTTTGATAAATGTCTGAGAAAACAAGATTTAATATCTTATGTCATCTTGCTTGTCAGTTAAAAGCCTCTTGATTTTATAATAGATGTAGCCTACTGTAAACAAGACAAAAATGCTAATTAAGAAAATCACTTTTTGCAGAATAATGATCTTGTAGATATGCAATGAAACAACTTAATTTTCAGTCTGACTTCATAAAACTAGTGTATAGGCACTGAAATGTATGATTAGAGAAACATATTAACTAATCACTAACGTTATCTGATGACATGTCAACCGTTAAGAGGTTTTTATCAAATCTGAACAGTTTACAAACAAAGAATAATAATAATTGCCTGTTTTGATGATCACAACTCATTCACTTCCAGCACTTCGGATGCTGAGCACCGCACCCACTGTCAGCAAATGTCCTATTGTCCCTTCACAATGGTCCTACCCCACCCTCCGTCCCGTTCTTTTATAATAGATGTAGCCTACTGTAAACAAGACAAAAATGCTAATTAAGAAAATCACTTTTTGCAGAATAATGATCTTGTAGATATGCAATGAAACAACTTAATTTTCAGTCTGACTTCATAAAACTAGTGTATAGGCACTGAAATGTATGATTAGAGAAACATATTAACTAATCACTAACGTTATCTGATGACATGTCAACCGTTAAGAGGTTTTTATCAAATCTGAACAGTTTACAAACAAAGAATAATAATAATTGCCTGTTTTGGTGATCACAACTCATTCACTTCCAGCACTTCGGATGCTGAGCACCGCACCCACTGTCAGCAAATGTCCTATTGTCCCTTCACAATGGTCCTACCCCACCCTCCGTCCCGTTCCGCCTGTATTTTGGAGTGCGACACTGCCTCTCTCCTCTCTGAGGCGCAGTTCTCTGTCTCACCAGCAGAGGACGAGGCACGCTAAAGGCCTCATCGTCATCTATACTCCATAAGCTCAGCTGTTATTGTTCAGTCTCCAGAGTAATACAAAAGTTTATTTTTAATTGTAAAAATGCTGAATTTTTTTTGTTAGGGTTAGCTTAGGCTACTGTATTTATAACTAGCTTGTAAAAACAACAGAAGTCTATGCAGTGTCTCCAGTTATATACCCAAGCAAACGTGTGTGTTTTGCAAGCGGTTGAGCGGAAACAGTGCTGTTGTCCAAGTCCGTCCCACCTGTTCCTGGGGCGAAGATGCTGCATTTGGACAATAGACAGGTACACTGGGCACACCCAACAGTGCCCGCTGACAGACGGGCAGCGTCCTAATTTAAGAGATTCATTATTCATATGTAACACAAACATCACTGACAGGTACATTTGCACTTCTTGAAGCCACAGTAATGCTTTCCCCCACTTCATTATATTGCGTTAGGCTATATATTCTGCTCTACATCTTTCCCAGTAAAATGTTTAAGTCGTCATCCTATTTTAACTGCTGGTTATTTTATTTTAGCGTGAAAACTAAAACCTCTCTCTCTCTCTATAAACTTTAACAGTACTGCAGTACTGTAGTACAGGCAGGTTTCTTGAAGCATCTTGGAGACGTTGGCACAGTTCTTCTGGATTGAGTCTGTCTCAGTTTGTTCTGTTTCTTCATGTCATTCCAGACAGACTGCATGATGATCAGATCAGATCTCTGTGTGGAGCACTGGCTGTTGTCAGACTCCTTGTGCAAACAAAAATCTCACTAGATTATTACAATAAATGGCAAAATGAATGCTTGGAAAATAAACTGATATTTCCTACTGACATACTACAGCAAAGATATAAATAACTGACTTACAACCATTTTTAGCTGGTGAAAATACTAGTGAAAATACCACTGTATATATGGAATAATTTCACACTAAATAAAGGCAAAGCTAAAAGCTAAAGCTAAATTTAAGTTTGATAATTTGCAATTTAGGTCTAAATTATGACTTTCAAATATATTCAATGGTATTTTAAGCTTAGAAATTAGAGAAAAATGTCAGAGTATTTGTATCAGTAGTTGTATCGATAATATAGATTCTGGCCTGATAGCACTTAGTAAAAAGATGCAATTAAATATTATTTATAAATGCACAGTCATATCATCATTGGTTACGACAATATTCAAAGATGAAAGATGAGCCATAAAGAAGTACATTTAAGAACATTTATTTTCGCATTCAGTATTGAGTACATCTTAAGTGCAAATAGTTAAGAGTCAATGGCTAAAAGAATGAACAACACTTAACATAGTACACATATTGACAGATTCTAGCCGGCAATCACTCACTGAAGCTTCCTTCTCCTCCCTCTCTTTTGTTTTGTATCATTTAAAAAAAAAAGATCAATGACAACACCTAAAAACATGAATCTCTGTAGCGGAGTCCTACGAAAAAGAAACATACTGTAATGCTACGAGTGAGCTGACCATATCTAATCAGAACATTGCTAAATAGTTGCGTTTGTGCCCAGATATCATGAACCTCAGCAGATCCATGCGTCTAGCTGACAATGACGGTTATGTTAATTATGTTCACAGATATAATGATGGAAGAGGAAAAGCCCCACCCAACGCCCAAGACACAAAAAAAAGCTTTTTTTCCCCCCAAGGATAGAGTGTCACTGGAGAACAATAAAGCTGGAGAGATCCTTCACGAAAAAAAAAAGATCAATGACAACACCTAAAAACATGAATCTCTGTAGCGGAGTCCTACGAAAAAGAAACATACTGTAATGCTACGAGTGAGCTGACCATATCTAATCAGAACATTGCTAAATAGTTGCGTTTGTGCCCAGATATCATGAACCTCAGCAGATCCATGCGTCTAGCTGACAATGACGGTTATGTTAATTATGTTCACAGATATAATGATGGAAGAGGAAAAGCCCCCTCCAACGCCCAAGACACAAAAAAAAGCTTTTTTTCCCCCAAGAATAGAGTGTCACTGGAGAGCAATAAAGCTGGAGAGATCCTTCACGTACTACAGAGATTTTCAGCACAGCTGAGAAAGCACACACACTTTAAAGATAAAAAGAGAATTCATCAGCACTTAAGACTCTTGACTTCATGCACTTTATGAGCAACACATACAAAAAAAAATCACATCTAGTCTTTTTGCCATATTTGAATTATATGTTTCAAGGTTACTTTTACAATTCATTGAGTAGTTGTACTTCTGACTAGATCCTGATTTGAGAGACAGCACGCTTCGCTTTTTTCTTTCTTTTTTTCTATGGTTACAAGGCGAGGATGGGACTTCTCCTGCACAGCTCAGCCGTTGCTCTAGACGTCACAATGTGTACAAAGTAGAACTATGTTCCAGTGATGTTTATTTGTGTCTGATTTCTGTGTGTGCGTGTGTGTGTGTGTACAAAGAGGAACTCTTGATCATCTTTCAGCTCTCCCAATAATGGGGCATTCAGTGGCTCACAACCTCCTCCAGGGGGCCCTGTGGGGCCTATTCAGCCTTTCGTTTGGCCCCAGGAATCTTCTCCTGGATCCTGTATCAAAAACACACATTCATATGATATGATATGATATGATATTATATTGTATACAGTGTTGGGGGTAACTCATTACAAGTAATGCGAGTTACATAATCAGATTACTTTTTTCAAGTAACTAGTAAAGTAACGCAAGAAAATATCTGAGTTACTTTTTCAAAAAAGTAATGCCGCAGCAGGGATACATTAAATTGATCAAAAGTGACAGTAAAGACATTTATAATGCTACAAAAAAATACTATTTCAAATAAACATTTTTCTTTTGAACTTTCCATTTATTAAAGAATCACAAATAAAAATCACAGTTTTCACAAAAATATTAAACAGTACAACATTCACCACTGACAATAATAAATGTTTCTGAATTACCAAATCAGCATATTAGAATGATTTAGAATTATATTAGAATGATTAGAAGGATCATGTGACACTGAAGACTGGCGTAATGGCTGCTGAAAATTCAGCTTTGCCATCACAGGAATAAATGTAATTTTGAAATAAATTAAAATAGAAAACATTTCTATTAAATTGTAATAATATTATTATAATATAATATAATATAATATAATTAATATATTATATTATAGTATTGTATTTTATTGTATGCTTAAAGGGAGTACTTACTTTCCTACCACAGAGTTGACTTGGGTTCTTATTAGGTCCAGATACTGATCAATCTGTGCCTATAGAGACAGAATGATTTAAAAAGTGAGTCATTGTAGTTATAGTGCTTATGAATTATACATGATTCTGTAGTCATGGTAACAATGGTGCCACTCTGACCTGGTATTTCTCATAGACCACAGGCATCGAGAACATGGACACCACCACTGAAGCAAAATGCAATGCAAATGTTAAAAAATGGGACAAAAGAGCGCATAATCAGTAACTGCAGTAGCCTGCAATTTAAAAAGCATACATCCATTAATAATTCAAATTACAGGTGCATAATATGGAATAAAAAAAAATCACCCATAATAAGAAGAGTGAGTCCATTGAAGACACCAGAAACAGTCTGCGCAGTTCTTTCAGTGTGCTGTTGATATAATACTGGGCGTTTTCTGCGTACTTCTGCATCTGATCATGGGACAGTGACATCTCCACCTCCAGATATGCTCTGCATCCACAATAAAACAATGTTAGTAACTGATTGAGTGACACACACAGTCTGTGCACACACAGCAGGCTTACTTGAAGGGATGTCCCTCGTCTGTTTTCTGCACAGCCTGCAGCACGGACTTGTAGACTCTGAAGCTGATGGTTGCGGAGAGGGTGGCCAGGGCCAGATAGGCCATCACGCTGACCACACTGAACTGCGTCAGAGAGAAGAGCAGCAGCAGTAAACTGCCAAACACAAGCCCACTCTGCTTCAGGTTCCGCCAGTACAGCAACTCCATCACTGGATGAACAGAGAGAGAGAGAGAGAAAGAAGATCAGGTGGGGTCAAAATCATGCAGATAGGATGTGTGGTAGTGGTTTACAGTAGGCATAAATCTGTTTGTCATTGATTGTTTTAGGATCCACAATTCAGCATCCACTGAATGGCATGACCTATGATGATGTAACAAGTAGTGAATCACTCTGAATCAGCGCTGAGTCAGAGATAACACAATTAGAAATGATTACACAAACAGACAAGAGTGCATTCAAAAATATGCCTGGATTCAGCCGGCAGAATGAGACCGAAGGCCTATGTCCAAATATGTGTATGTCCCTGCTCCATTATAGGCAAAAAGAAGTAAAAAGAGCAGAATGTCTGACTACTCTTTATTTGTGACAGAACAGGCAAAAATATAGTAACTGCTTCAGATTCTAAAAGTGTAAACCAGTGAATACTTTGTTATGCCATAAGACCATGGGAGCAGAGGAGATTATAGGGATAGATCACCCTCATGTCATTCTGATATGACTTTCTTTCTTCTGTGGAACATAAAAGAAGATTTTTTTGGTCAATATAATGGAAGTTAATGGTAACCAAAACTGTTTTATGTTCTACTGAACAAAGTCATACAGTTTTGGAATTACAAAGTTATTCCTTGTGGCTAAGTTGTACTTGTTTATTGTTGATTACCACAAAAATTTATGTTGACTTTTAATATGTGTATATATATATATATTTAGTATAGTCATTCCCATGAGTACAAATCTTAATGTTAAAGCATATAATGATATTCTAGGGAATTGTGTGCTTCTAATTTTATAGCAACAGTTTGGACAGGAACCTTTTCTATTCTAACATGACAATGCCTCTGTGTATAAGGCAAGGTTCAAAAAGAAAAGATTGATTCAGTCAGTGTGGAACTTGACTGGTCTGCTGAAAGGCAAATCCTAATCCCTGTGAACACCTATATATATATATATATATATACATACTATGTTGGCATTACAATATAATTCCTGAAACTCAAAAATTATGAGAACAACTTTACAATTTAATCCAGATTAATCCCGGCAAATTAGTGTGAGACTGAAATCCCATAAAAGTGTGAATGGGAGTGTAAACTTCTGCATTGCCACTATGACCAACACAACAATCTACCAAGAGCAGTGCAAATTAGCATAGGGTTGCAAACAAGCAGAGCTGACTGTAATCAGGTGTGTGCAATCTACTAACAACACAGGTGCAAAGTGGGTTAAGACATCCTTTTTTGGGGTGTTAAATAATGGCACAAATACCAGTAAACTGACTACCGTAAACCTTAGTAAATCACCTTTAAATACTCTCCTCCCAGACATTTTGTATCTGAAAGGGACACTCCAACAAATGCATAGCCTATGCAATAAGGTCGACCACAAAAAAAACTGTGTCCACGTCTTTTCATCTAATTTTTCTCTGCATGTCTTTAGTAAATCCTGACAATAGTTTTTTAAGGCCAAAAGAGGGTTTGCTGATACAAGTTGATATTAGATCTGGTCCTAAGATTCACATTTCTAACCTCTATTTTTGCTTTTTTTTGGGGGGGGTTGACGTAATTTTTTTCAGTATTATGCTACAATATTGTTGATTCAACATAACTTCTTTCCCTTTAATCTTTTTTTATTTAACAATAATTGTATTTAAAATAACACGTATTTTAAATTCACTATGAAAGCAGTCACAGTAGTAGGAGTCATAAGTAGAAAATAGTAGGTTTTTCATCATCTACTGTCAGAGCGATGCTTGTCTGTCTCTGTGTCCTTTCTGCACAAATTCTCGGAAACATTCAATTCTGGCCAAATGACAGCATGGTGGCCATGGCAACAGACTGGATTCACTGGAACCAGGTGCACAGATCTGGCAGTGCATGGTGCCTCTTTTCAAATGTTATATAATGTGATGTCCATCTTTAATCTGCCAGACCAAATGTAACAGTAATTCTATAATTGTGTCTGAATCCTAATGTCTGAATGGTACTAAATGGTTTTAATGCAGACCAATAAGCTGGTATAATTTCAGTCTTACAACAAACAGGACTAAAGACAAAGTACACCCTACAAAAATGAAGATTCTGTCATAGTTTACTAACCCTCATGTATGATATGACTTTTTTTCTTCAGTAGAGCATAAAAGAAGATAATTCTAACAATAAAAATAACATTCTTCAAAACATTTCCTTTTGTGTTCTGCAGAAGTTTGGAAGAACATGATGGTTTAATTTTTTGGGTGAACTTTGAACTTTGAAGAATGCATAAGGTCATAAGGACAGCGCATAAGTGTGCTTTTTTACAATTTTTTAATAGGTCTTAAAATAGTTTAATCTAGACCCAATAGGCTAGATTTGAAATTTGCTGTACTTGTAAACACCTTTACCTTCATTCTAGCAGCTTATTCAGTGTTTTTAAAGTTAAAAATCTGAAAAGCCTTACAAAGTCAAACTAAAACTTTTCTTGCATTGTCAAAAAAAATTTCTGAGCATAATTAGTGTCTTGTCGTACATGTACTTAAGAGTATGTGATTTAATTGATCTGCAATATTTAACTGACATGCCAAAAGATCCAATAGGATTCTGTCGTAAATAAATGTGGTAACACTTTAGTATAGGGACCAATTCTCACTATTAACTATTTGCTTATTAGCAAGCCTATAATAACCTATTGGCTGTTTATTAGTACTTATAAAGCACCTATTCTGCATGACCATATTCTATGTACTTAATCCTACCCAATACCTAAACTTAACTTAAGTTTAAACTACCTACTAACTAGGGCTGCACGATAAATCGCATGCGATATTTAACGCGCATCTTGTCAGAAAGCC